GCTTCATGTTTTGTACATAAAATTCTTTCAAAGAATGTCATACTACAGGTGCTAACTTTGGGATATGGAAAATTCTCCAACAAAATTCAACAGTTTTTGGGTGTTTTCACCATACACCATTTTAAAAGAGCTTCAAACTGATTTACTTTATAATGCATGATTTAAGTTACTGCACTATTTACAATATAATTATGATGTAAAATGTATGAATATTTTATGAAATACTCTAAATTATATATTCTTTGGTTAATTTAAATTTGTAATTTTCTTACACAGTGAAAATCCTGAGCACTGAGTACTCAGTAGCAATTGGAATCTTTGATATTATTTCTGAAAACTTGTTTAATTTTGTAACATTAAGGACAATAATAATTCAAAAATAATAAAATACACATCTAATAAAGAAATTTTCCCCAAACCTCTTATCTATATTCTTAGCCTAAATGTTATTTTTTAAATTATTTATATGCAATGATTTATTATGAATATGTTGTATGCTATATCTTATAAAGAAAAATGTTAAAAGGTCGATGAAGAAAACCATTCTTTTAAAAGGGCTCAATGTAAGGAAAAGTTTGCAATCCTTGGTGTAGATAAACTTCAATGTAACATATATTCATGTAAAGCAAAATTAAATATAAATATTAACTGAATAAGCACTACTTGAAATTTCAAAAAAGTTCTAAAAATGCCGATACTACATTTAGATTATTAAGTTCAAATAAAATTTAGAAATTAATGATGAAAATCACTATGGTAGGGGAATGGATTTACAGAATTTAACTTTCATTATTCTGGGAAATATTTTCAGTACTTGCATATTATATACCATCGATCGACCACTGGTTATACCATCGATCATAAAATTGCTGCTAAATACTGTCCTGTAGTACCAGTTATGGATAAGAGTGAACACACTCATAACATCTGCACTTTTTTTCCATGCAATCCTGATTGATTCTAGTTAAGCCAGCTTTTATTTTTATAAATAAAGATATAAATTAACTGTTGAACTTTTCCTTACATTCCTTGTATTTACAGGTACAGACAGTGAGTGGGACAGAAATTCACGTTTGGTCATATAGGCATAATCCTGCCACTCTAACTGTGCAGTTCCATCCCAATTTTAAGCAAAAAGACCCTAGAGGTAGTTCAAAGGTCTCCACCCTCTTCTCATGATACCAACCCCTCAAGAGGACTTTCAGCTCACTGTGCATTATATTATGAATGCGCCCTTGCTACACAGACACTTTAATCTACAAACATCCATGTGTTCTCCAGGATTTGAATCCTGGCGCATCAGTAAGGCACTCAGTGTCATGAATCACTATACTGCTGAGTGGCTCTACAGAAGAGCAAGCAGTATGCTCAAAATTATGGTATCCTACCATCAAAACAAAAGTGTCTATTAATGGACATGATAAGGTCAGCTGAATTTGGCCAACAAAACAATAATAGATTGAAACAGTTATGCGCAGGAAATTTGCATACATAGCATTCTAAAGAAATCTTTTGGTCGATTGAGAGAGCCTAACAAAATAGTAGAAAATGACAAAGCCTTTCTACAAAGTGGTTCAAATTTTTAAAGTTTACTAAATTAAGAGGCATCAATTCCTTCAGAATTTCACAGGAATGATTGGGACAACTTTGGCGAGATCTCCATCAAGTTTCATTGTTCAATGGCAGCCAACCTTACAGTCAATACAATAATATGCAAGTACCATATTTTTTTTCTGCAAAGGCTAAAAATACAAACTTAGGAGACCAGGAGAATCTACCAGGAAAATTGATACCTATGCATTGATGCAATGTATATTTTTTATTAAAAAAAGGAAATGTATCTTAGCCAAACAAATTCAGAAAAAAAGCTTCTATTGCACTTATAAAACTAAATTGATTTGGATCACATTCTATACCAAGTGAGGCAAACATTATCAAAAGAAATTTTCCAATTCATATTTGAAATATTAAATTCTGAGATTATTTTTTACACAACAATTAAAAAAAAACGTTGAGAATAATGGACAAAAGTTAAGCTCATATATTTTTATGCAAAAAAATTTATCATTCATAAAATTTGCATGTTTAATAAATTATTTTTACATATTTGTCATATTTGTAATATATACAAATAATTTATTTTACTGCACAACTTTTTCATTTGTATAAGTTTGATGATGTCTGATATTGTATATGCACATTAATAAAAGTTTCACTTTATGTCTATAAAAAAGTTTTTTTTTTTGCTGCAAAATTTTCTTACCTCTGTATCGTAGCCTAATAACATTTACACCATTAAATTTTAATAAAATATTTACAGTATTCCAATAAGATTCCTATAAATATCTTTGTCTCACTCAAAAGAAAATTTAAATATCATAATGATTAGTAGGTTTTTGATAACTGGCACATTTAGGGACCAAGTTGCATAAATTAGAGAATATTGCAAACCTTCCTGAATTTTTTTACATTTTTACCTTTCTAATTTTTACATTAAAAAAGAATTATCTGTATATAAATAACTAATCCTTTTCATACTTAAAGCACTATTAAATCCAAATTTACCTGACTATTATTTTGAGTATACTTATATCGAAAAAAAAAAAAAAAATTCAGGACAAAGGAAAAGCATAATGGGAAGAGGTAAATAATACAGTACAGTCAAAAGTCATTAATCCGGACTTGTCGGTGATTCCAGATTATCAATTTTTCCGGATTATAGATCATCAGTTTAAATCTGGTAAGATGGCATGCAGAAATTATAAAATTAAAAATATGAAACCGTAATTTATGAAATAAAGAACAATTATGATCTAAAGGGTATCAAAATTTACAAAAAAAAAGCTTAATATTTATTTGTTTACTTTATTAAAACATTCTTTCAATGTAAGTTGTTTAAGTTGCTTTGTTTTATGTGCTAATACTTTCTCTTTAATTCTATATAAACAGACATAATTTCTTGTTCGTTACAAAGTTCCGCTGTTCAAGTCCTGTAATGCTGTGCCGAATACCGACTAACTTGTCAATTGAAATTTTTTCGTTTTCACTAACCTCTCTGTCACTTTCTTCATGCCTTTATCCATTTTTTTGCAGTAATTCCACTTTTTGTTTGATGGACATCGAAACATACTTTCGCTTTGTAGATCCTTTGGGAGCTCCAGTATCGGAAATTCTATTTGACATAATCGAAAGTTCAAACTTACTTTTATAAAATTGCTCTAACAGTCTGCAAAAAATAATAAGCTGGATTCAATTCGAAGATTAAGGAACAACGCAATCTGCAACATTAACTGAAATAGATAATTTTAGCTTATACTGTCCGCTATACATTAAACGTGCACGCATAAACGTATTATGCCCTTGCGCACATGAATATGTGCAGCCATAAAGGTCTTACGCGCGTGCGTCAACTCGACGCATGCGCAGAAAGTTTGTAGCTTTGAGGTCCGGATTATAGATTATTCTGTATTATTGGTGTCCAAATTAACGACTTTTGACTGTATTTGGAAGTAGTGTGGGAGCAAGATTGAATTTGGTGAAAATGCATCGAAGTATTAATCAATTAGGATTTATTGGAAGCAAAATTATCATATTTTTAAGTTCTTTCTGATTATCCGCCCCACACCTGAAAAGTATTCACAAGCCAACACACCAAATAGTTATATGATAACCCATCATGCCACCAAATTATATATATGAAGCAGCACAAGCCCATGTATCCAGGTTTAGAAATTTGATTGTTGTTTTTCTGATTAGCGTTTTTTATCTTTCCACTGAATACACTTTTTTCTTGTAATAAATCATAATGGGACTGTGGAGTTTGCCAGCTGATGAAAAAGAAAGCTTTGCATTTCTTCAGAAATATTGCATTTTATCCAATAGTAAAGTATGCAAAATTTATATTCCACGAAGCTGTACTTCTTAAACAACATTTTATGGAGATATAATGTGAAAAACTGCAAGCAAAGTATTAAGATTGCAGGATGTAAATTCAGACATGTTTATAGATCACTGTGTACATGTGAAGAACAACAGTGCACACAATGTAAAAATTGTGATTGCTTTTTAATGAAAAACAGATCAATGATGATCATAGGGAGAATAATGCACAAAAAAATCAGATTTCTTGAAAATGGTCGTTTTAAAACAGATGTTTCTTTTTTTTTTTTTTTCTTTTTTTTTTCAAAATTTTATTGGCTGATTCTTTATGGAATTCTTAGTATATTGCCATTTTGAAAATTTTTGTTGCCTTTTATGTATCAGCTTGGCAAGATAATAGTAGCCGACTTTAGGGGAGGTGGCTACAGTTAATCAGGAAGTATACATTTTAAATAAATTTGCATACAGGAAAAATAACATTAGTACAAGGAGAAAAGATAATAAGAAAAAATGGATGATAGGGAAATTTTGTTTAGGAATTAAAGAATTCTTTTGTAGAAACACAATGAAGTATTTGATGGGAAAAAAAAAAAAAAAAAAAAAAAAAAAAACAATATAATCATCTGAAAAATTTTTTAAAAAGTTGTTTGGTTCACAAACAACCTAGCAGTATGTTTACAAACACTTTAGCATACTAGCACCAGTTTTCACTAAACTGAAGCTTTGGCTTGTTTACGAGTGTCCATGTAACAAGCTGCTGATTTTGAGGAATATAAAGAAAGCACATACAAGGTGCCTTTAAGCTGGAATTCAGCATCTTAAAAGTTGTAGACCAATATATTTTTCATATATGTTAACATAAATTCAAAACCAATTTTAAAACATAAATTGCCTTTTTTTAGTCGAATTATGTTATAATGTATTTTTATTAAAAAGTGTAGTTGCATATTTATATAAGAAAACATTAATATTTAGCACAGTGAATTTATAAAAATCAAAACTTTTATCATTTGCATCCAAAAATTAGCATACTTACAAGCATTAAAGGATTATTGGTATTTGTTATATAAGCAACTTGTTAAAGTTCTTCAAAAGATTAAAAATGAAAAGAATCAAATAGATCTTACTTGAAAAGATATATTTATTAAAGTTGTACAAAAAGGTATAAATTGCAAAAAATTTACAAATAGGTTGTTCTATCGTCTCTTCTTTTTTTCTGGAATAGGATTAACTACTGCAGTAGGCACTGATGAGCCATAAACTTTTATAGATATTTTGTTCATGTAATATAAAGCAACCAATGAGAAAAGGAAACTGTAAGGAAGGGAAGAAAAAATATCTTAATACAAAGGAAATCATAAGCATATAATTAATATATGCATTTCAACACTAATTTAGAAAATTAGGCAAGCACATTTTGGTCATTAAATATATAGAAATTTACAATTATTATATCTACAGAGGTATTTGTTAAGTAAGAGAGAAAAAAAAGTTTTGGTACTTATTTTCTGTAGTGACCTTGGCAAAAAAGTGGACTCGGCAAATTTCTACACTGACAAGAAACAAATGGTTACTAATCTGTTCATGAGCGAAAAACAGATGGTTAATGATTTAACTGATTTTTTGTAATTGCATTCTGTTAATACAGAGATTTTTCACCATAAAATACTGATTATGCTCACTATTTTCAATCTTCCATCAATGGAAAAAAAGAAGCTATACTTGATGTTTGAAGCATTATTAGCACCAGTTGCTAAACTGTGGCCTCCAGAAAGAGATTAAAATATCAATTTTTTAGCATGTTTATGAATGATTTAAAAAACAAAATTGCTAACAAAATGACATTAAATAAAATCATAAATAGAATTTTATGGTATTCTAATTTTTCAACATGTTTACATATGTTATTACTTTAAATAAACTCATTATGTTATTGTATTATGTACCACAATTAGTGTATATATTAAGTAAGTTCTGCTGAATTATGTTGTCATTTTAAACAACTTGCAGACAAAATTGTGTTAAATACTATCATAAATACAAATAACAATATTAAATTCCTTCTTTCTCTCTGTGTACATATATCAAATAACTTGTGTTGTACAAATATTGAATGATTTGCTAGTTTATTATTCACCATAGTCAATTTTATTTTCATGGATGTTTACAACATTTGGCAACAAATCAAGCTTTCTTAAGCTTGAATTATGCCAATGGCATTTTCTGTCGCCAAGGATGCTACAAAAGGCAAGTACCAAAAATTTGTTTTCCCTTTCTTTGATAATGTCTGATGATAAAATATAGTTTTACATCACAAAGATGAAGGAATCACAGTCCATTACTATTTGTTTATATCAGCAGCTACAGTCACAAAAATTTCATTTTCAGATATCCGAGTAAAGACCACCATGGTGACTTGTTTTGTTTCAAAACAGGTAATTCACAAGGAATTTTTTTTCCTCGCAGATGAACTCCACATTTTAAAAAAGATATAATAAATAAATTTTTAAACAGAACCTTATTCATAAGTTTATTCAGAAGGCGTTAGGCCCAAATAATGGTTTCCGTTTCACCCTAATATGTCCTCATAGTTTTCATCAAACAGTTTCTAGCAAAGAAAAGTATCACCATTCTCAGCCACCCTCACCATATTTAGCACTTTAGCCATTTGTGCTCTTCCCTAAAGTGAAATCTCAACTCAAAACTTTGAGATCATCATTGCACTGATTTACAACATTGTATATTGAAGGTTACAAATAAGAATGTTGTTTCTTGAACCTAAAACTTTGTAAATGGACTGTAAAATTACAACTCTTCTTTTCTTCTTTTGATACACTTGGTACAAGTACACTGTGCAAAAAAAAAGGGGGGGACAGTTCTATATCTCCCATTCTACTGGGCTGGTTGGGGAAATTAAACTTAGCCTGCTTTACCAGGTAACTCAAAATCCATTTCCTGCTCTGTCAGGAGAAATAAAAGTAGAACAAAAAAAAAAAAAAAAATTATATACATGTACATATTTACTACCACCAACATGAGTTGTGATGAATCGTTCTAGGTCTTTTAACAGTGTTTGGGGGGAGTAAAGTTACCCACGTCCGTGATTATCCTTAAGTCACACGTGCCCCCTGGGTGGTGCTAAATGGGTAACTGCCACAAAGTCCTGTGGCATACTGGGGTTTAGTGGGATGAGGTTCGGTCTGATGATGAATAATCTTATGACGACCCAACGGACCGCTCTTCCCTGGGAAAACCGGCGATTGTGGGGAGGATTTGAAATTCCGAGGACCTTTGATCTGGAGAGGAGGGGTCTTGGAGGAAGCAGCCATGTAGAGGATACAGGAGAAAAGCTGAGTTTTGCGTCTCAGGCCGCCAGATAGTACAGGAGCCCGGGGCAGCCTAACCAGCATGTCCTGGCTGCTGTGTATAATCTCTCCTGCCTTGTAGTTCCAGGTGGTGCTGGGTGGGTTCCTGCATGGCAGAGCGGGGGGCTCTTCCGAGGTCACTGCTGGCTGCTGAATCCGGGGCTAGCCCCTCCAAACTGGCTCTTAGAAAATCGGAAGGAATTTTTCTCTCCCTTTATTCAATCAGATACCAAAATGGATGCTTGCAATATAAAATTAGATAAAAACGCATCTTCTGAAATCCCCACTTTAACCACTGTAGCTCCTTCTGAGGGAGTGAATGCGCCCTCGGGTGCGGACGCTCTTCTCTTCAGGACTACAGAAACCAGAACCGCTGGTGAAAGGGTGAATGTGCCTTCGGACACGGACGCCTTGAACCCAGTGGGGATGGATACTGACTCCTCTGTCAGAAGTACTGTGCCAGATGCGCAAGCGGATGACCAGTCACCAATGACGGAGGTTGTAAATAAAAGAAGAGAAAAGAGACAACGCCAGAAAGAGCGGAAACGGCTGGAGAGGGCCATGGAAGGGATCTCGATCTCTGGGGAGAAGGGAGCGAAGGAGAAAACAGATAAAGCTGGGACCTCTGGAGCGACCTCCAAACTGGTGAGGAAGAGCCATCCAAGCAATGAAGAGTCTCATAAGAGAGAACGCATTGCTATTGACACCCCAGAAATGGCCCTCAAGAAACGACTGCTTTATAGTCAAGCTGCAAGAAAGGCAATCACTCTGCGGGAATCGTCTGCAAGGATGACTCCAGAGACATAACATCGGTGGATTCAGATTTCATCACCTTCTATAATTGATGACCGAATTATCGATGGCTCTATCACCACCTGCAGGGTCCACAAGACAGTCCTGCAGCCGAATGGCCTCAACATTGCATGTGAGGACCAGGAGACTGTGGACGTCCTAAAGACTTTAATTAATGATCTACCTGGCCCTGAAGAAAACCATCCAGGTTATCATGCCATGGCTCCCGGGGACAGACCCCCCATGAAGAGGTTTTTCGCTTGGTTTCCTGGTAACAGGTCACCAAAAGATAACATCAAGCTCCTTGATGCCTGTAACAAGGGCCTGGATGTTAAGAAGATCGCCATCAAGGCAGTTATCCCTGGAGACGGAGGTAATACCTTGGTGCTGGGAGTGGAACCTGAGCTATGGATTATCTGGAGGCCCAGAATTTCAAACTTTTTTGTGGTGCCCGTGGCTGTGTACAGCTGAAGGAACCAAGGACAACAGGAGAAATCAATTCCTCCGCCCAAGGATCCTCCGAAGGAAACAGTTGACGGAAGAAAGGGGAGACCGAAAAGGAGTCGGAACCAGAGCTTTCTTTGGAGGCTCTGGGGAAGACATCTGAATAGTTTTCCCCTGTCACTACTTCCTTTGAAGTAGTGGGCTAAGGATGCGGCTTTTAACTAAGTCTCTCCTAAAATCCTTCAGGGTAAGTTCTTTTTTTCTTTCTCTCATTTAACCTGTTTTAATGGTTAAGGTTAGTCAGTTAAACCTGCAACATAGCAGAGCAGCTTCATACAATTTAGCTGCTCAATTAGGTAAGCAAGGCACTTTTGTTGCCTTAATTCAAGAACCTTGGGTGTACAAGGGTAAAATCCTTGGTAGGCCCATGAACGCACACTTCTTTTCGACAGAGGGACCTAATAAAAGACCTAGAACTAGCATTTACATTTCTAAAAATATAAAGGCTATGAAATTATCCCAATTTACATCAGAGGACTTAACTGCTATTTTAATTAAGGACATAAACAGTTCACTGAGAGGAAACATTTGTTTTTTTTTGCTCGGTTTACATGGCTTATGACCTTAACATTCCGCAAGAATTTATAGATCTTGTGAGTTTCTGTGAAATAAACAATATTCCTATGGTTATTGGTGGTGATGTTAACGCTCACCACCTGTCATGGGGCAGTTCTGATACTAATCCTAGAGGAGAAAAACTCATGGAACTTATAATGAATACCAACCTAACTTGGGTAAACAGGGGAAATCGCCCCACCTTTGTTCAACAGAAGAAGAGAAGAAGTCATTGACCTCACACATTAACTTCTTCTGATATTTATAACCTTATTGAGAATTGGCATGTAAGTGACAATCCCTCACTTTCTGACCATCGCCTTATACAATTTTGTATTAGAGATGAAATTCCAGCTGAATATTTCAGAAACATTAAAAACACAAATTGGGACCTTTATAAGGACTCCCTGGTTTCTAATGTCATTAACCTTCAGGTTTTAGACAATAATTGTACAGTCGAGGAGCTTGATACTCAAGCAAACAATCTGACAAATATCATTATTGAATCTTATCATGCATCATGCCCTCTCAAACGAAGGAAGTACTCTCCTAGCAAGAGAGTTTGGTGGACCAAGGAGCTTGAAAGCCTCCGCCTAGAGGTTCGGAGAGCTCACAGGAAAGCAGTCAGAAATAAATCTGAAGTTAACTGGTCTAACTTCAAAATTCTACAAAGGAAATTTAAAAGTGAAATCAGGAAAACTAAATACAACTCATGGAGATCGTTCTGCACAGATATTCTGTCCTACCATGAGACTGCCAGAGTATATAAGATTCTTAAAAGATCTCAGGAGTCTCAACTCTCATCGATTATGCAACCTGATGGCAGTTATACTATAAACCCTTTGGATACACTTTCGACCATGTTGAATTTTCATCTGGGGGACACAAGTGTCACCTCTGACCCCCAGGAAAATCCATTGGAACTACTTCATAATCCATTAGATCTGGATTTTGCTAAGACAATTGTGAATTTTGAAAAGGCTAAAGCGGCCCTTGATGTATTTCTTCCCTTTAAATCTCCAGGGAACGATGGCATTTACCCAATTCTGCTTCAGAAAGGCTGGGATATTTTTGGCCACATTCTCGTGGACATATTCG